TCCGACCACGGTCGTCCTCTAGAGGCAAAATCTTAAAGCGTAAACGCTTAAACCCGAACCCCTGAACCCTAAACTAAACCATGCCCCCAAACCTTGGATCCGAAGCCCCCAAAAGACATGAAACCCAAATCCCTCACCAAAGAATCCCAACCCTCAACTCCAGACACTAAAGCCAAACCAAGCTGTCAGATCTTTTCTCCCGTGCAGTCGAGGCCGGGTGTACATATAATCAAGGAATATGCCTCAACCTTGAAGGCATAACAGAGGTTTCCCTCAGCTACAGGGCACATTGGGGCTCTCAAACCCTCAACTCGAAGAAGCTCATGTCCAAAAACCCTTGCTGCATCAGACAAGAGCAAGGAACAGCTCACCCGGACAGCCGAGGCCCGATCTTCCCGTTTCCTCCACTGATGCCGCAGCCGTGCTCCCAAGAAGGAAGCACGGAGCACAGACTTTCTTGCGGGTTCAACGGAGGTTTCACAAGGGTCTTGCAGAGCCATACTTATTATGAAGAATACCCTGATTCAGTCTGAGAAGCCCTGGATTTATAGGTTCTTATAGGGCTGTACAAGGGTTTGTTGAGGAACATAGTCTTTATTCAGGAACAGGGTTGAAGCGTATAGCCTAGAGGTCTTTCAAGTGGGTTCAGAAAGAGTCTTTAACGGTGCAGAATGTACAAAGCTTCGGGTAGCATCCCAATTACGTTGTTCTTGGGAGACCGGGGTCCAGGTGACAGGCTGCACAGGTGGGTTTTATAATTTGGGGCATTGGGCTTACACGTGGCTTTTTCTGTGGGTGTCATAGGAGTGTTATGAGGCGGAGCCCGGGTTTGTAGAGAAAGCGACTCTGTCGAGATTGGAGAGATTTATAGATTTTATGTCCGGTTGCGGGATTCAGGACTTCAGAGCTTCGCGAACGATGGGTTTACTTGCGGTGCAGGACAAACTGTATCAAGCTAATTTGTGACGTGGTTTCGCACATTTGGCTGCTATCGGTGTGAGGGTGTTGGATAGACGAAATCCTGCATTGTCCATTGTCCATGTTGAGGAATACACCGTTTCGTTGGTTCTCCCATCATCTATATGGGTTGTTCGTTGCTTGTTGCTCCTTCGTGACCTGTTCCTTCAATTGACAGCGTATCGCGATAAGTCTGGCTCCGGTTTTGGTGGTTTGAAAGGCTTAAGTGCCTTGTTAGTCGTCGTACCAGACGGACAGCCTTCTCAATACTTGGCAGTAGCATCTGATCCAAGTCCCTGCAGGGTGCAGGGCCCGTGTAGTGTTAGAGGCTTTGTTTCAAGGTTCGTTTAACTCGGGCTTCAGGCAAGTGGACCGCTAAATGTGGAACACCTTGAAGAGAAGTCCAAGTTGCCGAGCCAGACGATTGGGCCGTGTAAACTCAGGGTTCAAGATTTACCTGCACGGTTACCATAGTCAACACATAACTAAGCATCGTAGCATCTACAGCCCCAGTTTGAAAGTAAAGATGCCGAGGTCATAAGCACGTGTGCAGTTTGGTCTTGTGTACCCTGAAGCTCCAGCTAGGGTTTGGGATTCCCGGGTGTCGGATGTAAGGCTTGGGGTACTAAGGTTTTACGGTATAGGGCGTGGGGTTTACCCGTTGCTGAGACATGGATGCCCCTGCCTACAGAGCGTCCTTATGCAGACCCCGGACTATGCGATGAATCCATGCTTCCCAGATGCCCATGATGATCCCATTGGCCGAACCTTGTGATTGTGGATGATAAGCCACACAAATTCATAAATCTAACAGCATAAGGATCGCTTTGTAGAACTGAGGCCGCTATACAGGTGCCTCCAAAACCCTTGTTTCTGACCCCCGTATCAACTTCAAGCAGATCCTTATGAGCATAACTGAAGAAGTCGCCTGAAACCAGGCCTGCGACGATCGAGTTGGACTGAACCGGAGCAGGCCCTCGTAGGGCGCTCCGGCCAGTTCATCAATGATTTTCACACTTTGCATCCCTAGCAGTGAGACTCAATGGTTTGCTGATGATGAGCGTGACTCACAAAATAGTACACCATAGTTGCTTGATATCAGAGTAATACCAGGATACCTGGACGAATGCAGGATTTGCCCTGTAGCAATCACCATGGTGTTGTGGGAAGTTCGGATGAGGGATGTTTAGCTTGCGGATTTGTAAAGTATATAAACTACGTGCACGCTGGGATACTCCTAGCGGGAGCCTGGCTCAACCCTGCCCTGTGGCCCAGACGAGGCAAGCACCACCATGGTGTTTGCTTGTAGGAGCAGTCGCGGTTCTAGGCTTGAGGGTTTAAGGTTTAGGGTGAAGGGTTCCATTGCTTCGGCGTGTAAATAGGTGCTATGTCATTGTCAGCAAGGACGTCTGGAGTTGCAGACAAGCACGGGCGGTGGTTTCGGGCTCCCGTGTGCTTGGCGCTGGAAAGTAAAGCTTTACAAGCTTGCCGGCGCGCGCAATCTTTTGTAGCATCTGCAGACTGCCACCAATCGCCTACCTTGATACTTGGACGGAACCTCAGCTACCAGAATTCCCAAGCCCAAAGTCCTGGCCGGTCTACCCGAACGCAGAACCACTGAGCCTCCGGAAACCAAAAGCCAGAAGCTTTGCAAAGACAAAATGCTCATCTGACTTTAAGAACTAACCCCTCAACCCCCTTAGCCTTAAGCCTATATTTTCAGACGCCAAAACTCTTGATCCCAAGATCACGAAATCCTGAAACCGTAAAGCCTTGTAATATTCTTGAAAAATTCAGGCGGGTTTAAATGGACGCTGCAGACTGGCGGCCTGGTGCATGGTATGGGCATAAACGTTGCTTCCGGCTAGTAGTTGAAGAACGCGTATAATCGGACATACAGATAGTATGCAACTAGGCAGGCAAATCTCAGTTTGAACTGGGCTGCTTGGGAATATCGTTTAGTGACGTGTATTTGGCGGGGACGCTAGCAATAAGTTCTCCTTCACATAACAAAGACTACAGAGTAGAACAACCTCTGCATACAAATGCGCGTAGGTCTGGAGAGACTGAAGGTACAGGTTGCAGAAAGAATAATGTCAGAGCTTGCATTCTCAGAGAATATCGATAGCTGTTCTGGACTTTGATCCCATTGAGAGTCGTTCTCAGACCTCATGACTGATCTGATCTACCCCACCTCAAAGTTCACACGTACTCTTTCTCAAGAATTTCTCAAGGTTATTCGGGGTCTAGGGGCTTCCGCCTCTGGGGTGTGCTAGGCTGTGAAGCTTTCGCACCATCAGACCTAGTTGTCGGCAAAGCCCGAAGTCCCAGGCCATCCTGAACCCTGGACGGGTTTAGGGTTTAGGGTCTTGGTTTGAATCTTTGCCGCTCCCGGAGTTGCCAGCTCATGCCTTCTACGCCACGGCTGCGAACCTCGCCGCAACCGCTTTCATGAAAACGACAAGTTGAACTTGAAGAGAATTATCGAGCCCTCCGCATTTCAGAAAGCACTGCAGCTGGGTTTAGATCTTCCTCGCCCGTCCTTTGAGCCTGCAGCATGTGCTTCGACCACAGGAGTTGTGGCATCGGCTAGGCATCTTAAGGACTGCAGACCTGTGTCGCATCACAACGGTTTGCCTGCCTGTGGCGACCGCGCGTGGGCTCGTCATAATTCCAACGAAATCCTAGACACAACAACTGTTTGTGGGCGTTTGTTCCCAAAGACCTGCACGCCGCCGAGGGTGCTAGGGACCAAAAGAAGATGCTTCTGTGCTTGCAGATTCGGCTGTCCCCGTCTACAATTGCTGGGCTTGGGCCTTCATAACCAGGAAATCCAGTGTCAACAACATCCAACTTTCCGTAGCGAAGTTCCCCCAAAATGTTCCGTGGCCTGGACCCGAGCTTTAGCTATGCAGGCTGATTGCGCAGTTTCCCCAAAGACATGGTCAGATCAGAGCATGCAGCAGTTAGACATCGCATCCAGTGTTAATTCTGGTTGCGTCGTCGCCGGAGTCACATCTCGGAGGTCCTGCTCGTGTCAGGCGCGGGCTTCCAAAATGCAAAGCCCCAGGCCCCGGAGCCTGGAGTCATAGCCCTCACCAGGCCTAGCCTTCCAAATCGGTCTTCGAATCCGCACTATCGGCCCCTTAGTTGAGATCTAAATTCACACCCAAAGAAGGAGTAAGCACAGTAGCAGCTTGCTATATACATAAAGCCGTAAACAATTTCAAGGGCACTTTGGATCCTTCGGAGTTAGGATGTTCGGGCTCGTGGGTTTGGGGATTCATGGCCTAGGCTTTTTCGGGTTTAGGCAGAGCAAATCTGCACGGCTTCAATAGCCATTTGGTCCAAGACTGACAGCAGGCAAGCAGGATTTCCGGGCGTGGTTGTTCATGGCTACTGCTTGTGTCAGCATCTGTCGTGTCTAGAAGGTCGCTTTACACGGGTTTCAGCATCCAGTGTTTGGAGTTTCACATCGTGAAGCAGTTGTTTGGTGTCGTCACCAACGGAAGCAGGGATTGCCTGTCCTAGGCGCCATTTTAGTGGTCTGAAGTCTGGCCTATTGGTTGAAAGGTTCCTTTCAGCTTCGCCCTTAGCTGCGCTGAGTTCTGAGATGCCATGTGCTCTAGTCTAGGTCTTGAGAGTTCCCCAATGGGCAGAATGCAGGGGCGTGTACACTTCGACAAAAATACGGTTAGACAAGCGGTCGTCCAATTCGACAAGCCTTTGCATTGCTTGCTACCTCCTTGGGGCTGCCTTTGCGGGATTGGTGAAGGTATGTTCTGGCTTCAAGATCCGGTGGCCGTGTAGCCGCTCAGCCCCACGAAATGGGGGGGGGTGCAAAAAAACAACATCTCGTGAACCCGTTGGCAAACTACAATTCTGGTCCGTCAGGTGGCCAAAACGGATTCCCAACAGAAGAGCTACCACGAAACCCGGAAGCCTTCAAACTGTCAACCATGAAACTAAACCATAAAAGCATTGCCCCGATAAACCCAACAAGCCTTATACCAGAAAGCTTTATTCCGAACCTAGGACTCTCCATGGGTGTCGCTCGCAGTGCACTCAAAACCAGCTATCCGTGTGTTTAGGAGCGGGTTTAAAGATTTAGTGTTTAGGTAAATTAGGACTGGTGGGCTTAGGGTGAGCAAGGCTGGCTTTGCGGGTTGGTTTCAGGGGTTTAGTATTTAGCATTCTCAGACAGCCCGATAAACATGGGGCTTTCTAGCAATTTACAGGACCTCAACCAGGAAATGTTCGTAGATCGGAGTGTCAGACATACAGAATGTTTCAACCATTGATATTGGCTCTTTGGGTTTTGTGCAGTCAGATTGTTTTGGAGTCAGGGTTTCGGGCGTTCAGGGTCAGTCCCAGAACCTTCCGCGTGCCTTAATTGAAGGCCTTTTTCCTGAGGATCCGCCATAAATTAAATAACATTGCCTGTACGCATGAGCTTTCTCTCCTAGGGATCACAGGGTTAAGGAACTAGGAGTTGTGTCCAAAGTTGACTCAGGTTTGCATGTGAGCAGGGCTGCGTTCCTTCACGCTCTCAGAATGAAAACCGAAGCACAGCGGGGGTAAACCAGGACCGGCAAGCTGCTTAGTCGAAGCACGCATGATGTTCAAAACTTCCTAAACAGCAGTCTCAGCTCCGAAGCCCTAAGCCTCAAATCTTCAGCCTGGAAGATCGAATGCATCGTTCCTTAAACTGAGTGCGCCAAACGTCTTTGTAGTGTTCGACTACAGAACGGCCGGTAAAGATGATGACGTCTACTTCTGCTCTTTATCATTCCTCCCTCTCTCTCTATTATATCTGTGCACCGGTTCATCTACCTGCCTACTTTGCCTGCTTATCTACCGTCCTACCTGTTTGACTCTGCCCCTTGTTCTGCCCTACCTTCTCCACCTGTCTACAAAATTGCGTAATTTCCTATCGATCTATCTATCTATGTACCTACCTGCCTATCTGCTTATTTAGCTGTCCATCTATCTTTCTTTCTTTCCGTCTATGTACCCACCCATCCATCCGGCGATCTGTCTATCTATCGGTCCATCTATCTATCTATCTGTCAACCTACCTACCCATCCATCTATATACCTGCCCATCTGAGGACCTACCTATCTATCTGTCCGTCCATCTGTCTATCATACCGACAGCCTCTGAACTTTCACGGGTGCTTAGGAGTTGAGTTATTCTGTCATGTCGCTGGTTCTGCGGGAAATATGACGTGCTAAATGTTATCGGGTCGTGCATGGGGTTTCAAAGGTTTCATATAGGGGTTTTACAAGGTATATTATATCTGGAAGTTTCGGGACAACAGGGAACCCCATATAAAATCTTCACTATAAGATCCTTATCACAAGCGACGGGATCCCCACGCTTAAGACACCCCGCCCCCCCCCTCTCCAAAAAAATTTAAAAAAGCGAGCTGACATGAGGTCTTGCGGCTGCTACGGCAGCCTTGTTTTACGACGGATGGGGGTACCGGCCTATCCATCAATCCCGGGCTTCCTTTGAGGTTGAAGTTGTGATCTTTGGGGCCCAGGGTTTGGAGCATAAGGTCAATATTTTTTCGTCAGTTTTTAGATGGTTTCTTGCATTGAGGGGGGGGAAGGCTAATTTGGTCAAAGGCTGGAGGTCCAAGCCTGTCACTGGGAGCCATTGTGAGTTTAGAGGTTTGTGTCTGGAAAGGTCCAACGAGTAGCACTTTGCCCTTAGGAGCCCCTATACCTTGGACTGTACACCCCAAGAGTCGTGGATGGATTGGATTCTGTTGCGGGCGGTGGTGATACGAATAGAAACATAACGATGGACTACTAATGAATGAACGTGGTAATGTCAATAGTCGCAGGCCTAGCCAGGGCTAGCAGTGAAAGAACAAGAAGAAGAAGAAGTAGGAGTAGTGGTAATGGTAGTGGTAGTGGAAATGGTAGTGGTAGCAGCAGCAGTAGCAGTCCGTCGTAGCAGTAGCTTGCGTTGTGACTGTAGAGTGGCGGATGATGCACCTCCAGTCACGGTCTTTTGTTTGCTGGGGCTTCTGGACTTATTGCATTCAGCCACTGACTTGCTTATTCGTCGCGTGGCCAAGGGCTGTAGCTGCAGACATACTGACAACTAACGACCCCAACCCGTCACCCTTATTCCCGAAGCCCTTTAGCCCTCGAGCCCAAAAGGGCCCTGAACCCGAAAATGCCCTAAAACCAATTGCAGCCCTCACAAAAAGCTATAAATCCCTTCAACATATAACTGATGAGACCTTGCGTGTGCGGAAAGCCATAACATCCAATAAAGAACCTACCTGCAACCCCCACCTCTCCTTTGCCACGAGAGTTTGCAGGCACAGTCCGCGTCCTACAACATGAACCCCGATCAATAACCATGCCCCGACCAGCAGCCCTAAACGGATGAAGTGTTTCAGAGTTTAGGGTTTCAGTTTCTGTCTTTTTGGTTGGGGTTTGCAAGACTGGGCGCTCAGCATTCAGTGCTCAAGTGGTAGGGGTAATTACAACAGTCCCATGATTCAGCAATTACATGAGTTTGGGGACCATACCGTAAATCCTAAAGTCTATGAAACCCAAGTATCGAAGATGACTCTATTTGCCTATGGTAACCTTCTTCCCTCCTGTGAAACTTTATGAAGTTACAGTCCCTGGCATTGGATAATGCAACCGTAAGGACAGACGCGCATCTCGTGAAAGGGATCAGCTATGGGCCTCGGCCCCGGTGCCCTTTGGAGGCTAAGGGTCTTAGGATTTGCTCAAGCGGTTTAGGCATTGGGGTTTGGGGTTCACTAAAGGCCTAGGATTGGAGGTCTTGCGGTGTTTTCCGAAAGTCTTGCGGGCTGCTTGTTGCTTTTTGCCTTGTATCGGGTTTTGTCGTTGTGTTATAAGAACTTCGGGTGCTTGCCTGCTGTTGCGAGGCTTAAAGTAGTCAGTGGTTTGGGATCATGTGAGTAGGATATACTTGATGAATAGTACCATATTGAAGGTTTGTTATTTGCTTAAGGCTTCCGACTGTCGTTGAAAGCTGCTTTGATCACAACCATTATGGAGGGACCACTACCAGTACCAGCATTGGCGGCTGTTCACGAAGGTCGATCAGTACTCAGAACTACTCTCGGAACTATCAGAGACAGGTTGAGCCTGGTCAGGTCTTGCTGTTGGGCCGAAACCCGATCCTCTGGCCTAGTCGCTAACGTACTAATCGGCAAGGTCCTACATCACATTAAACACATGGCATCTGCAACCCCTAAAAACTCCTGGACCCCACGGGCTTAGCCCTAGACAAGCCGCAAGCCCGGACAGCCGCTAAGCAGTCACAGCCATCGCCAGCACCATCATCCTCATCAACAAGAAGCGTAACCAGTGCTCATGAAATCAACTCGCTGGTACTTGTCCTCAGGCCAATGCCTTGCAAAGGGCCCTGCACCGTCAGCCAGGCCCGGCAGAAGGGGGCGGGTTGGAATTGGAGGGCCTGGGTCGCAGCATTCCAACTTTGACATGGATCATGAGAATAGGGCTACATCATTAGAGCAGGATTTCAGGCCTACAGACCACATGAAGTGTAATGTGGAAACCTCAGAAATAATATTCATGCTGCTGCTTGTACAGGATTAGTCTCGAAAGCCTCAGAAGGCTTTCGCCTCATATTTAATTGAGCCAATCTCAGCACTGCTCGCACCCACCTCGGCACGAACATCCACTGAAGCCCAGTGGTCGTGTCAGCTTTATGTAGCCCACAATTGTGACCCTCCATCCCTCGCATGCAAAGGACGACTTCTTCTCACAGTCCGCGAAACCCATGCCCCCGGCCTCAGCATCTTTGGGGTCAGGGATGTTCGATGTATAAAACTTCGACATTTTCACGTGATGGCGGTGCGGATGAACACGATGGTTATGAAGATGAAACGATGAAGATCTAGCGCGGACAACGTGATGAGGAAGAGGATGGCGCTGATGACAGTCGTCGCCGGCTTGTCATCATGATGCAGACTTGGATCATAGCAACGCCACCTTCGACTTTACCAGCAACAATAACAACAGCAGCAGCACTTCAAAAAAATGCAAGTACAGCAGGAGCAAGGGCAAAACCTGTGAGGTAAGATTTGCGTGGCCAGTGCTAACGCACCTAAACCCCCAAACACTGCGAAGACATACCAGGGCTTGGACCTTGAAGGAGCTCCCAGGCAGCAGCGAGCACATCCACCTCACGGCCTGGCCGAAGCAGCCACCCCCCCCAGTATGCCAAACGTCTGTCGCGCAACCTCCCCCTCTTCGTATATTCCAAAAAATCAGAAGACACTGAACGTAGGCCCGCCAAACCCCAGACCACTGGACGCCGTATGGTGTCTGCTAGCACCAGCAGGGAGCACCTTTCTTGGGTTTGTCTCAAGCAATGCCTAAATTATGCATAAATTACATCCCTTGGGCATCGACGGCCCTAAAAGAGACCATCACCCAAAAAGCCTTCAAAAGGGCCTTGCATCAAGAAATTGAACTACAGACACCTATATTTCCGAAATTTCATCCTTAAGCCCCACATTGAAGCTTGAACCCAATGTATGCATGCAGGGAAACCCAAAACAGAAGACCAGGTGGGGCCGGAGAGGCCGAGGAGATCTCGAGGCCACGGCTGTCTTGCATTGCTTGCATATCAGCATGATAGAAGGTGTTTACGAGGGCTTGAGGATATGCGTTTCTGTGTGCGAGCTTTTGATGTGCCCGGAGGGTGCTCAAACTGTGTTTTTCCCCGAACACTGTGGTACACACTATTGGCTATAGGGTTCTTGAGTTCGGAGTAGAGAGACTTGACTAGGCTGGCTGCGAGGCACAGGCCGAATATTCTCGCTTCCGCTGTGGCGCGGTGCATAAATGGTCCCGTTGTTTACACACTCGTGCAGCCGCGTCTTGCGGAAGCGTGATTCATTGAAAATTCACATACACTGGGCTCCATGCGGTCTCGAAATGTATGAACCCGTTCAGTTCATGTAGGGAAGCTTTTGGGCCATACCATTTTTTGAATTGGGGCAGCTTGTTGCTCATATATCTGAATCTGCCGCACGTGTTGGATATGATAGTGGTGTCCTGGGATATCGTGGTGGTCTTCTGGTTTCCGTGTGGTCCTTTCGGAGCTCCTGGATTCTGCCAGCGGTCTCTGGCTGGTCTCCTAGAGATCTCTTGGTGGTCTCCACTGCAACCCTCGCACACATAGTGTCTCGTTTCGTCCTTCAACTGTATCTTCTTGAGCTTAAGTAGAACTGGCTTGCCAACGCTTTGGCTTGCTTCTCAGGGTGTCTCGGGCAGTGTTATTTTTGTTCAAGACTGCATTACAGAAGCCTTCATCGCTACTGACTGCTTAATCATGTTCAATGCTGTTCTACAACCCCGGTGTGCGCGTATGTATATACCTACATATTTGTATATGCATATACATATATATATATATACATATATATATGTATATATATATATATATATATGTATATATATATATATATATATGTATGTATATATATATATACACATATGCACACACACACACACACACACGCACACTCGCACTTTCGACGTAGAGTTCCCCGAAAGCCTGGCCACAGTACAGAGTATGATTCGGTTCACATTTCTTTGGCTTAGCCTGTTCTGCCTGCCTTGCTACTACGTCCGTAGACTAAAGCCACCGCTCAGGTCATCCGACAACTTGGTGCGAACATGGTGCGCGGGGCACTCAGCCGTGAGTTGAAGTCGAACGCCGTTATCCTGCCAGTAGGGAAGGTGGTTTTGGGGTGCCGGGCGTATGCTTCACTGCTTGGTGTAAGAAGCCGGGCTTTATGCTTCCCTTTGTGATTATGGTACTATGTCCGGTAATTGCCAGTCACTGCAGTTAGCCTTTGAACCTTAAGTCCGAAGCCTTAAAGCCCAAAAGTCTGCAGCCACGATTTTGTGTTGCCGCTTCAGGTTCAACTTCCCGGCAGAAGCCCTGAACCCTGGCCCAGGTCTCTACGGCAACAACCCAGAGAACACGCATCGTGACTTTCTGGACGAAGCACAGGACCATTACCAGAGTGGGTTTTCGGATTCAGGGAACAGAAACACAGGACCTAAGTTGAAACCCCAACTTCCACCCGTGCGTCGCCGGTTTCTGAGTTTCTTCGTATGGGGTGCAGCAGGCCCGGCGCGATACGTCCGGACAAGCAATCTATAACATCTATAACCGGGCTGTGAAAGAAGCTCACTCGGGTCATGGAGAGCTAATTGAGCAGCTAGTTAAGTCCTTGGATCTCAAATACATCTGAGCTAATCTCCGGGTAACAGACAGAGAACTGACGATGATTAAGTATGCGAGAATGATGTGACTACGATGGCTGACTGAGCCCATCAATCTTCTTTAACTTTTACTTCTACTTTACTCTCAGGTCATATGGAGGTCCCCCATCGGCTTCGGCCTCATGATGACTGTCACAGCCTTTATATCCCAATCACGAGTCCCTTACCGTAGGTATACTTCCCTTGGTGATGGGAACTTAGGATTAGATATGATTAGGTTAACTTCCGAACAGCATGTGGGCAAGTGCGCATGACAGTATTTTCATGGTGGCTATCCCATGCAGGGCCCTTGTCATTTCGTATGCCACGTACAGTAAAGGGCCAGGCTCGCAAAAGACAGATAGCAGTAATGAGCCCTGATCCTTGCTTATGTGTGCATCTGCCAGGCCTGAATGCTAAGTACCATAATTTCCGAATGCTTACACTCCTATCTGAATCTTCGAAGCCTGATGCCCAAACCTCTAACCAAAGCCCTAAAGGCCCGATACTCTACACCATGTGAAACTTATCTAACCCTTAACTCCGGCACCCCAAAACATCACAAGAAATCCGAAATCTCAAGACTAAACCCATGAGAGCCAATCCTAAGCCTAAACCCATGAGAGCCGCATATGATTGCAATACAAACAGTATCTAGATCTAGATCTAGATAGGTCTGTTGTATATCTATGCATACACACAGACGCACCTGTTAACCCCAAAGCCTAGAACTCCATCCCCCGAAAGCCCATGAAGGTCCGCAAACCCGCATGAGAAAAAGAGAAAGCACTGAAATTCCTGAACCTGCTGGATCCCCAAAACCCTAACATCAAAAAGCCCCCAACTTGACACCCGTAAACCGCTTCAGTGTCGCCAACGCATCAGATCCGAAAGCGACACAAACCAATCACTGCAGGAGCTCGGCCTGACCGTGGTACCAGGCAACACCAGATGTGTCGATGTTCTAAGGTTTCCTTTCGGTTTTGGTTGCAGGGTTCACGGTTTTAGCTTTCGGTTCCGTGATGGGTTTTTTGTCCATGGAGGATTGAGAGTTTCCTTGATCTAGGATCGTGACTGAGTAAGCTCGAAGATGCCTTGTGCACATCGAATTGTACTGCTAGCTTCCTATGCTTTTGTTGCTGGCATTCTTCTGTTTAGCCACGTTAACCGACAGAGTGGATTCCGGAGGATCCCGGAGTCCGGCACGTAGCCGAGAGTCCGAGAACAAGGTGTTATTTGCGAGCGCGGCCGCTCGATGAGCCATCCGTCTTGAAGCGGTCGATTCATGAGCAGGATGACGGGCGGAATTCGGCCCATGACACTGCTGTTCTGGGCTATTGTCCATGCTTTGCCGAACAGCCTGAAGCTGAACCTCGTTTGACCTGTCCTGGTTGTTCGGCACTGTAGGTCGCTGTTCAGTTTAGGGCTTAGGGCTCCTTTGTTATGCTATCTGTCATAGGGCGTGTATTCTTGCTGTTGTTTATGCTGAGCACGAGACAGTGATGAAACCTCAGTTCTTAAACTGTAGGCCATGGACTTGTAGGTCGTAGGTCAAACGAGCCAGGACCCAAGCGGTTCTAGTCACGGGCCGGGATCGACTGTTTAGCGATAAATGGGCGGAGGACGGGTAAAACGGTTTCGAGTCAAGGTGCTTGGGGCAAACCCGCCCACAGAAACATTCTATTTGCCAGGCCTCAGCGATTACGACTTCATCCAGAGCCCGGCGAACTGCTTGACCACAGACTTCAACTGCTACAAGCAGGCCATGTAGCTCTAGGGGTCAGTTTCTCGAATCTCACTATGGGGTATGCCAGTCTAGGGATGGAGGATGTTGAGGCTCGTCAACTTTTACTTGTAAGTTTGGAGGTTTTGTTTTGGATTATATCCACGGCGTTGAGGTCCTACTGGTATTGCGCGCTTGCAAGGTCAAGCCGCCTGGAATGTTGAGATCAATATTTGGAGTTGTGACAGCAGTCGAGAGCAACACCGCACTTGTCTAGCCGGATCGTGTGGAAGCGATGTGTTCACAAGGATTTCGAGTCCGAGCTACTCTATCGTTTCGTTGAGTCGGGATTGAGGTTCAGCGCTCTGGGACTCTGAACCCTGCGTGGGCAAAACTAAGTTGGCTTGGCCAACATTTAGAGGTCCCTTTTGTCGGTATCTTAGAGCCGGGATTCTAACGTTCAGGGTTGGTATTGGGGACTATCAGGGTTCAGCGCTTTGGGTTTAGGGCTCCGGCGAGCCCTTACGTAGGGCTTCTCTAGTCATGCACAGTTTTGGGCCTCAGCAAAAAGCACATTTCTCACGCCTTTCACACACACCCAGAGCTGCAAGTCTACAGCCTACCCTCCTACACCCTATAGACCCCGACCAAAACCTTAAACCAAGGTCAGGGACTCGTACAAGGAGCTGCTGAAAAATGGCTTCCTGCACGAAGGCACCTGACTCTTGTCACTACATTGTGGATTTGTAGACGGGTTTTCAAATGATGCAAGATCCAGGTTAGTTATTAGTTGTAAGGACCCCATACGCAAGTGATCTGGTGCACGCGAATCTCCTAAGGACAAGCTTTTAGTCCACAGGGGTTACGGTTAAAGACCACGTGTCTTTGGGAGGCTGAGTGCTCAGTGTTTGCATTGGCGGCATGCCCATTGTTCAACCAGGCCTTTCGTGGCAATTTGAACTTAATCCATTCGGCTTCAGAGACTCAGGGACCTGAGATACTAAATTAGGACCCTTGTTACAGAGATCCCCAAGCGTTAAACCCGCTAACCCTCCCTCCGCCAATTTTAAGGACCAGGCAACTTCCATAAAGCGCTCATAGAAAATGTGTCCAGACTCAATTTGACAGTATCGAGGGTGGCCTCTTTGGTGTTTTCAGGGTTCTGCAGTTCTAGGTCCCAGAATGACGGGACTTGGCAGAACTAGAAGACATGCATCTAACCTACTTGTACCAAGAGCTTCCAAGTTGCCATCTCACCAGCCCCGCGTGGTGTCCTGCTCCGCATGCTGAGCTTCTGCCCTGGTGCCGGATCGAGGCGCATCATGAAACCAATGTAACAGATTTGCCGAGCATGTCGGGCGGTCCCCAGCGCCAGACCACTTCGATTGTTTTGGTCAAACTGCTTGTGAGCCAGTAGTTTTGCTGCAGGCCCAGGCCCAGACTTTGAACTTGGGATTTTCGTCGATTCGTGAAACTTCGAACACATGGCTAGTGCGGAGCCTTTGCTTCAACTGCCGACGGCGGCCCTTAGCCTTTGAGCAAACCGCCTGGAAAAGCCTCGGATCTGGAAAAGAAAACGACTAGATGAGCTCTACGATCGACCCACTGCCAGTATCCAGAAACTCGAGCCCGCTTTGGATGTTCATGAGTGGCTTCATAAGTATGGCTGTGGGAAAAGTAACTGAACCTTCCCGAACACTGCGTACCGGCGCATGCAAACGATCGTTGGAAAGTGAAGGGAGGTTGGATTTGTGGAGTTTTAGGGCTATGAAGTTCATATAGGGCCCTTCTGCTGGAATATTGGCGACGGTATGTTTGGGGTGCCCTTATGGCGCTACCGGCAACAAAAACTCTACGGGCTGTGATTGGTGAGGGGGGCCAGGAGCTTCTTCTAAAGGGGTGCCTTTTCAAGCCTACGCTTGCGTGCCCGAACCTCGGGCAGTCTGTGCAGGACCGAGGAAGTCAATTAGGGTTCGTGGTTTAAGGTCACATTGAAATTTTTGGGATTCAGGCTCAAAGATTGCAGATGTTGATGCTCAGGAGGACATGTTTCGAGGGTTTACGATCATCGTGTCCACGGCCACATGGTAGAACAAGTTGTTAAACCACCAAACTCAGACCACATACTAGAAATCCGAAGTCGCAGAGATTCAAAAGGTTCGAACATAAGAAGCTGAGTCTTTGCCGGTGGGGCTTCATAGGTCTATGTCACAGGCGTCAGCTAGTGGACGGGTCAGCTTGCCAATAGATGGGCCAGGGATTTCTAAGGCAGTGAACATCAGTGAACACGAGTATTCTCACGGCACTCCTCGCAAGCTCCTGGTCTATCAGCTGAGCATCTAGACCTCTCATCTTCGTGGCGCGGAGTGTTTCAGGACGTTGTGTTTCCACCTTTCCCGCAATCTCCAGAGATTCGAACGGGATGCCGCTTAATCGCTTGGAGGTTCCGGCATGCCTTGCCAGGGCCAGGGTTACGCTGCTTGCCATCCTAACTCGGAGCTGAATGGTAGCTGCCCAGGCAACATGAAGTTATGCATAGAGTCTATAAAACACAACTGACCGTAGGGCTCCGGATGCCAGCCAAATGGGTCGTTTCGACAAATCGGCCGCCACCCATGTTGAGTTTAAATGCAGCGTCGAAATTCACGCAGCAAGAACTGAACGGCATCAACCCCACCTTTCCTGTTTGCTCACCGTCTGCAAAGTTCGGCACGAAGTATCCGCCTTGGTATCCAGCTTGCAAAGTTTATAGTTCATGCGATTGCAGAGAAACATCAAAACACCTGCGGTTAGGGCTGCAATGTCTTTGCATGGCGTGCTTCCACGTGACTGATCCAGCTTTGGGTTTGGCCGAGATTTTCGCAGTCCGACAAGATCTATGTTATCGTCTTACAGCCAGCAAACTTTCATGTTTTCGTTGGCATTCGTCGACGTGTAAGTCTATAGGTATCAGTCATCCTGATCAAGTGCAACAGGCTTCGTCTGTGTAAGCTGATCGTAATGAACATCAGTTTGATCATCTCTTCCTCAGCTTGGAACTTCATGGCTCACGCGGTTGCGCATCCTTCTGGCCTAAGGTCACGTTTTCTCGGTCGTACCGAGGAAGTTGACCTGATTAGTTGGACGACTTTCAAGTGTACTTTGCCCAACTTCTGGAGGCAGATATCACCCAGCGCTTCGGGAGCTCATTGTCATGAACGAGCCCGACCTCAAGTTGCCACAGCCCCAGATTGACCTGCAAAACATGGTATGTGCTGAACATGGGATTCGGCTGAACACGAACAACATGTGAAAGGCATTGAGCAACGCAAGGTTTTGGTAATGGATCCTGAGTTACTATCACGGCAGCTTGCAGTTTGCACTTGTTCATGTCATGTGAGTTGGTTGTTATCCTGAGTTGCCACAACATTCTTCTCATGAGCTTTTGGGGTTTCATGGTTTTACAAATTCTGACGATAGGACATTGCTAAACTGTATGACTATGTGCGCAAGTAGTGGTATGCAGGCTGGTGTTTAGGGTCATGCCTGAGGGATTAAATTCTCTGCCAGCAGTGCGGCTTCGAAATTTGTTTTGGTTGTTTGTACTTGTTTCTGTTCAGTAGGCGGGCAAACCCACTCGCAGGGTTCTTGCCCTCTAAGCTTCAAACCCAAAGTTTGTCAGTCTGCTGAGTATAGCTCAGGCCGGGTATTCACGAGCCGAACAAGTTTTGCCGCGGAGTTCTCTCTGCCATCGATGCCATGCCCGCAGCTTACGGCCTACGCCTACTGGGCAGCACTACCGCTGCATGATGATTCTGGTGATCGTTCTTGCCATTGTGGTCCCTGGTAATCATGAGAAGCATCGAGATTGTTTTGTTTGGTTTCCTCAATAGCTTGGTGTCGATCAGGATATGACTTCCCACTACTGTTTGTTTCGTATCAACATAAACAGCATGAACCCTTCAGTGTTCGGAGCTGCAGTTGAGGCCTCTCCGGTTTGAGCAAAGTTTGGGTGGGAGGGTTTCGGCACGAAGCGCCAAGTCCCGAACCCGACACTCAAGTGCCAGTGCCAAGGCGGTTTCAGGGTTCTGTCTAGATTAAGCAACGTCAGTTCAGCCAGCACGAATGGAGAGCACATTCTATACTACATGTCCGTCCACAAGAAGTCGAGCTGCGGTTTACTTCTTTTAGGAACCAGGGTTTCAGAGGACAGTGAGGAAATGCAGGGGGATATACATAATGTAACAAGTCATATCATGTCATTACCATATATATGCGCACCTGATCACTTGTGTGCAGAAATGTGTTTCCTCGTTTTAGTCGCTAGTCTGACATTATGCCGCCGCGCGAGTTATCACACTTCCGCGATCAGTCACCAGATTTTGCCTACGTTTCTGATAAGCCGGTCGTACATCTGACATTGCTTAGGGCTTCACGTTGCGGCTTGCGGGCCAAGCGGTTAAGGCTTAGCAGTTTGTGGTTGATGGCAGTGGCTGCAGGGTGCTTTGTGGGCCCTTACTTGTTTCATTTTCCAGACTCAGAAGGTGAAGGCATGATTCCATAAGCCAAGCATCGTTGATGTTGTAAGGCCTGCACTTGGGTGTTAGATGCAGGTATACTTCATTCGGAAGTCTTTACATACAATAAGAGTTCTACTATCTTCCAAAAAAAGCCAGCAGCATCATCAATTGAAATTGTTTTATGTTTTGTCCTGTTTATTCGCATGGTATTTCTTCTATATGTTGGGATGACTTGCTTTGTTGACATGATTTAGACATGCTTGCCTTGATTTTGACATGTTTCATGTTTTGACAGTCAGTAGGCATCAGTCATAGCTGCTTGAAGCATCTGCACAACACGTTTGAGATAATGCAGGCTGCGGGAGTGCTGAAGTGCTGCGAATGATGGTGTTGGGCACAGCATCATTTTTGTATCTAAGCGCGTGATGATTCATTTCAGATCCTCAATGATGTTGCCCACACTCTTCTCGGTTTGCCCTTTGCCTCTTTCACCGCCAGACACGGAGAAAGGATTGTCCACAGGTTTTACCCGTTTTACCCCCGTACAAAACACGAGTTTCACCCCACATGTCTGGTACTTCCATCCCATCCAACGGAACCACCAGTCAGTTTTTAGGATGTAAGTTTCAACTTCTCCTTCCACATCATCCCCGCCTTGGGGCTTGTGAGGAATGTCCTCGTTGCACGGACCTTGTCAGCAATAGTGTTCCCACAGTCCCTGACGTTGTTTGCTTTTGTTGCGTTGCCTGGTGCCTCGCATTACATTACCTGGCATTTTGCCGCGCCTCATTGAGAGGCAACTGGGTTGCGGTTGCGCAACATCCGCAACCTGGACATAGAGACATGAGTGAGATTTGTGAGTATGTTGCCACTATAGGAAGTTACAGCAGACCATAAAAACTCCACATGTGTTCCTCATGGCTTTCAGAGCTGCTGCTGCATGGGCTCACGCTAATTCAGCAGCGCTGAGCTTTTCAATGCACGTTGTCGGCGTGATCGGTTGCTGTGCTTGGAATGCCACGGAGAGCCGGCGCATGGCGCGCCAAATCCGCAACGGACAATTCCGACCAAGGCCGTTTGCAGGGGTATGACCAACGGTTTTGCCTTTTTGACGGAAGCATAATGCAGAATGCTCCGATGGTTGCCCCGGTTGGATTGAAATCCACAGGGAAGTCCAGCACTTTGTCGCACTTCCTGATCAGAGAGGCAGAATGCCTTCTACC